CCAGCATGAAGAGCTGGCTGCCTGCCTCTGGCTCTGCACTGGGGCCCGGCGCAGCTCTTGCAGGCTTCTGTGAAGGCTGACCACCCCCACAGCCTGCTGGGATGGCAGCAGGGGCTGCAGAAAGCCTGAAGGGAAGGAAAAGCCTGAGAGTTCAGCCCCTGTGAAATGGTCCAGAGCTACGAAAGCCTCGTGCTCCTTGCATGTTCTGGTTACCCCAGGCTCTTTGACTTTCTTGTGACCTCCAGGCTTCCCACCCATCTGCCCGCCCTCCCCACAGAGCCTAGAGACCCCTTTGGTGGGGGTCCTCCCGAGGCTGTGATCAGCAATGCACTAGGAGGGAAGGGTTCAAAACCACCTGGGGCTCCAATGCGCTGAAACAGGGGATTCTCTTCCCTGCTCCTAAGCAGGGCACCTTCCCTGGGAGGGCTGTTTGCAGTCTGGGTCTTCCGCCTGCAGCTGAGACGGTTTCTCAGGGATGCAAAGCCTGCACTGGTGGAGACGGCACTGGGGCAGGATTTGAGCTGGAGAGGTGCCAATTACCTTGACACTCAGCCCTGCTAAAGCACCCAGAGCCTCATGCCAGCTCTTCCACTTCGCCCAGCTGTGTAACGGCTCCTGGTGGGGCCTGGGCAGAGACCAGCGCTGAGGGATGCTCCGCCTGTGTCCCCGTTCCTCATTAGGGTCCTTCACTCTGTCTTGGCAAGGACCCTCCATGTTCCTGTCACTCAACTTTTCCATGTTGTAGAAAGGTTTCCCTTAGGGACCACCTTCAGCTTCCGGAGGGAGATGCTTTTTAGCCCAATGAGTGCCCTTGGGGCTTGCCTGCAGGTTTTGGACTGTGCATTGTCATTGTTGAAACTGTCTCTTTTTAGCTCCTTGTGCTTGTCTCCAGTCACACTGACACGCTGCAGCAGCCTTTGAGATGTAAAGCAGTTCCTTGGCCACCTGATGGGTAAGACTTTTTGCCCCACCCTGTTCCGCTGTGATGACAGCAGGTCACTCGGCGGTGACAGTGAGCTCTTTGAACCACATCTCCATCAGGAGGATGGTTTCCTCCATTGCATCTGGTGCCAGGTTTTTCCAATTTCAAGTCGGAGAATGTCAGCCTAATTCCAGCTGAATCTCACCTGGTTCCCCAACACACATTTAAGAGGAGAGGTGGCTGACATGAAACGAGTTACTACGCTGCCTCCTCCACGAGCCCTGAGGGGTCTCTCTGACATGGTGCTAGATTTGAGTCATCTTCCCTTTGAGGATCTCAGGGACAAGCAAGAGAGTGCAAGATTCACCCAGTCTCCTGCTGGAGCCCTTCCTGGGACTTCAGCTCCATAACAGATTCACATGCATTAAATGACCCAGTTCCCCAGGCAGGAGATCAGAGATGATCTCAGATCTGGTTTGGAGGGTTTGGGATGTGCTGAGGTCAATCTCAGCCTCCACTGACAGCTCCAGCAGCTTCTTGGTGCCAGACCAACGCTGGTGCTCCCTCTCAGGTGTGTTCGTGATCACACAGCGGAGACCCACGCGGAACGCCCCTTCCCCATCCTCACTTCTGTCAAGGACAACCAGGAGTGTCCAAGAACATGGTAAAGGGGAAGGTATCTGTTCACCAGAGCAGAAGTCTCTGCCCTCTGAAGTATTTGCTCTTCCTCTCCCCACGTTTTTTTCAGGCTTTCCCACCCAGGCTGCTGGCTCTCAAAGCCGCTATTCCTTCTTTCCCTGGGACCTGATCTCCGAGGGGGCTCTAGATCCAGTGTTGTGTTGTGTGTCTGCCTTGGGAGCTCAAAACTACATGGACTCTATGATAAGGACGGCCTGTTGTTGTTTTCTTGGTAAATGACGGGTAAAACTCATCCTAAGCTTTTGCTAATGGTCATTTGTGAGTTCTGATAATCAGTGGAGTGATCCTTCTCTTTCCCCCCCTAACGTGGTACTTCCAGAGAGGCCTGCTTGTACTAGGAGGGTAAGTTCAGTGGGTGGGAGTCTTGAAAAGTAATCCTAGTATTGTCAGTCATGACTTCTGAGAGGCACAAAACTGCTACCGAGCCCTAGGACGGCCAGTTTGGAACAAATAATTGCTTTCTTGGCTTAGAGACAACCCTGTTCCCGAGTACCCTGGGTTTTGTCAGGTTTGTTAATCAGAAATGGAAAAATACAGCACAACTAATCTCCGGGGCTGCCAAGCGAGATGTGTACACGTGATACCGAAAGACCTGGAACGTCCCAGGAGAGGAATCATCCAGTTCAGAAAAGGGCCTGAGGGTTACGGAAACCTACCGCCTTGTCGGTGCGCGGCCGCTCCTCGCCCTTCCTGCGCAGGCCCACCCCCAGCACGAGCCCTCGCAGGGCCAGAGAGGTTGTTCTGTGCTCCTGCTCCCTGTCACCGCCTGTAATCGAAGGGCAGGCCGGCAGCTGAGTACACATGGGCTCCAGACAAACACCACGGGAAGCACAGCCGCTGGTTCGACAGGTTCAGCGCCCGGGCTGTCGCTTCCCTAGCAGGCTGTCCCACGTCAAAGAGCTTGTGCTGCTCCCTGGCCGCGGGTTTTTTAGGACAGGGCTAAAACACCAAGTACACGTCCTGCTCGTAACTCAACGCCCGGTAATTACTTGCAGACCTTCTTTTGGGGAGAGTTTGCCTGGTTCAGAGGAAATAGGCTGCGATTACGAGGAGCCTGGCAGGCAGGTGTTTCCTGCGATACCTAGAAAAACCCCGGATCTGGCAAACAACAATCACCCAAGCGCACAATTGACGCTGAGTATCGGACCTTTTCCATACGCTTATTGTTTTTCCAACCTGTTTGAACAGGCAGGGTGACTGAAGGTATCTTGATTTAAAGATAGGACTGTACAAACAGTCCACGGCAGGTTCTGAGCGTGGTGTGGAGAAAATCACTGCGCTGCAAAGCAGTTGAAAACCATCCAGAAAGCAGCAGCTTTCTGCAGCCGTCAAAGCCACTTGCTGGATAAATTAAGCTGTTAGGGTTACTGTACTCATGCCTTCCCTTATCAAAACTGCCACTGGAGGTAACGAGGAGAAGGCAGCTGCGCCGTTTCGGTCTCAGAAGAGAAAGCAGAGGTGCTACAAGCTGTGGCTTTTTGCACGTTGGGGGACTGAGGCTTGCAGGCTGTTAGATATTCCAGCTTGCTTGAGGGAGGCAGGCTGCTGCCCCAGCATGCGTTTTGCCAGCTCTGGCTCGCTACAGCGCTCAGCTGCGCGCTGCCCTTCGCATCTTGGGTGCATGTTTGTAAAGCCTCTGATGATGGACTCACTCCTGTCTCCTCAAGGACAAACGCAGATGAAAATACACCCCGTACGCACGTGTCTCGCTGCTGGCGTCTGCCGCAGTGCCGGGAGCAGTGTAAACAGCCCTGGCAGCCGTGGCACCGGGCATGGCTTAGAGGCCTGCTCAGGCCTGGGGTGATCTACAAGGCTGGGCCTACCCATGTGAAGGTAACCTCTGTCTGCCTTCGTCTGGGCGCTCGCTGACGCTGGGTGGTCTCTGGGGGAATACACAAATACGCTTCCTTGTGTGTAAAACAGATGTCTGAAACAGAAATACTTCGTTGGGAGTGAATAATACTGATTGGCTTTGTCTTTACCCCGGGGGGCTGAAAGAACCTTTACAGGCTGTCCTCTGAGACCCACCGACCAAAATGCAGGCTCCTTTATTGAGCCTCCAGGGCTGTAATCTGGCCTTTGCTGTGCAAGTCACAGCCTGGCATTTCGCTGACGGTGTAATCGCAAGGCCACCGTCAGTACTAATGTCAGGCTGAAAAGGTTAAACCCTGTTTGCCTTTTTCACCATTGTTCGGCTTGGAGTCATTTCCCTGCTGCGGAGCCGAGAGAGGCCGGACCTTAACGGGGCAGCACTTTTGTGACCTGCCCAGGCAGAGCTGCGGCCAGAGCATGAGATTTTGTGCCAGTCTATTGTTGTCTAGTCAGAATTAGGGTACCGTTCTCCCAGTCTCAGGAGGAGTAGCCCCTGAATTCTGCTCAGGGGATCCAAAGCACAGACGCAGGCACATTGTTCCCCTGAATGCCACCCACGCTAAATAGCTACTCCAGAAAACAAGTACTTAAAAAAATACCCATCTAAAGTCATTGAAACTTAATTATTAAAACCTTTTATGTTACTCTACAGTACAATGTAAATTGTTCCTTTCAATTAAATTTTGAAATACACTAGATTACATCGTTTAAATAGTTGCAAACTTTTAGGGTCACCGTTAGTGGCAGCGGAGCTGTATTTACATACACTTCTGAGATATTTCAGACGCAGCATTATGTTCCAGTCTCCAAGTTAAATAACAGACCTCCAGTGGGGGGCTACTGCTCTTCCACAGGTTTTACACATCTCTGGGGTGTACGCGCCAGAGCGAAAGAACCCCTCGTATTGTCTGCTGGTTTTTTTTCCTTTGCTGTGTGCATGCAGCTGAATCTGAGCAAATCAATACCTACTTGATTTGGATTAAAGATGAAAGACCTTTCTTTTTATACAAGTATTTTCATTGAATATACAGAGGTGAATAATGAAATACAGTCTTTAGGAGTAGCGGTGGAAAACATCATTTTCTCCAACTTTCCTCCCCTGTTGCATAATACTGTACCTAATTTTGACCCTGACTTTCCCTAATGCTGATGAAATATAGTCAGTGGTGGTAAACCCCTCTCTTCTCGTCAAGACTGGCTTTCAACACAATCCATGCAATGGCAAGCATCAGACATCATTCTCCCACAGTGCACTATTAACAAGTTAAACCCGGTATTTTCCTCCAGAGATCTGTTCCTCGAGGGAAGCCCATCTCTGTGTGTACATCAGCCACAAAAAGGTTGTGCGTCCTGAGGCTGGAGACCAGAATTGGGCTGTAATGCTGGTTTCCAGTGCTGCTGAGTCTCTGTGGGCCAGGCTCCTCCCGGTGTCGTCCGTGGAGCGGAGCAAGTTCAAGCCACCGAGGCTCTTGCTGGTCCTCCGCAGGTGGCACTGGCCCTGCCGGGCTCAGGGCCTGGTGTGAGGGGTGCTGATCATGATGTTGGGCAGCGCGTTCCGCCGCTTCTTCCAGGAGCCCAGCTCCCTCGAGTACCGCCTGATCTGCCTGAACCAGTGGTGAGTCCGCGCCCGGTCGCTGTCCCGGAACACAAATGCCTCCCGCCTGATCTCAATGAGTTCAAAAGTGTCATCGCAGTCAGGATCGGTGGAGACGATGCAATTACTCAGCCTCAAGGGCTCCCTGAGCAAGTGGAACTTCCCGTTATTTTTGTCCCTGATGAGTACCAGCACGGCATCCTTCACAGGCCCTGGCTCGGCTGACTCCAGGCTGGACTCGGACGCTCGCTTCATGTTCACCAGGAGGAGGACCTGCATGTTCTGGAACTTGAGGGTCTTGCTGCCTTTCTTCACCCACTGGCCGTCGGGGGGCTGGGCCAGCTGCAGAGAGCCCTCCATTACAAACCGCGTCTCCTCCCGCAGCCAACCGACCGTTTTGAGGGCAGTTTCTCTCATCTCGATGTTGATGACTTCCCTCTTCTTCTTGCTGTCCTGCCGAAAGGAGCGGAGGGTCCACGTGTTCCCCTCCTGCTTGGTTTTCATGTTGATGTGCTCCAGGTGGGACTCGATGCGGCTCTTGGCCTCCCGCAGGCTGCCGTGATCTGGGTGGTACTCGGTGGTGGCCTTGATGATCCTGCTGAGCAGCAGTGGGTACTTGGTGACTCTCTGCAAAGGGGCCATCAGGAAGGACCTCAAGTTCATCCGCCGCAGGGCTGTGTTGTCGTTCTGGGAGACGTTGAGGAATATTCTGCAGGGATTTAAGAACAGGGGGTGAAAGGGTGGCCGTTCCGCCAGCAGATGCTGCAATCCTAAAAGCAATGAGTGTGGTGCTGACAGCGGCGGGGCACCACAGCCTCCCCTCCGGTTTTAACAGCCCTGTGAACTCCACCTTCTCCAACACGGAGAGCGATTCCCGCAGCTGTGCTCAGCCGCAGGACAGCGATGAGGTGTGGGACACCAGCACGTAACACGCTGGCGGCCGTCTAGTAAATCCCCGTAAAATGATGAGGGTGTCACCTCCCTCTGGTATGGTGACGTCAGCCTGAGGCAGACACGTCAGCTTCCATCAGATTACATCAATCTGTGGCTCCTTTCATCATTAGATGACACACACTCTGAGCAAGGATTTGGTACCATCATCACGCTGTTGCCATGGAGAGAGAGAAGTGACTCGCCTGACGCTGCCCAGCAGGCCAGGGCTAGGGGCGGGAAACAGATTCATGGTTCCCACAGTGGCTTTCCCCAGTGGAAACCCAATCCATGCCCCGGTGCAGGGAGTGAGCTGTTCCCAGCCCAGCGGTCCGTGGGCAAACCCTGGTACCACAAAATACAGGATCCAGCTGGGGCTGCCTCGGTGGAGGTATCAAGGGGTTAATCTATTCTGGAAAGTAAATTGCTCACCCCAGGAGAGAGCAGCTCAGCACTGAGGAGCGTCAGCATCAGATCTTTGATCTAGTTGAGCTGGCAAAGGCTTCGCCCTCAGCCTGGTGCCTCCCTGTCCCCAAAGCCTGGAAGAAAACGCCCGGCCCTTTTCTCACCTGAGCAGCTCCTTCTCCTTCTCCAGCGCGTTGAGCATGTTCACGGAGGAGGACTGCTGGAGACAGTAGGTCTGAAAGGCTGGCAGCATGTTGACAAACTCGAGGAATATTTCACCGATGCACACGGTCATCAGGTCATTGTCAGCCTGCAAGCACGGAAGAGCCCCTGCTGGGTTAGCTCGAGAGGCACAGGCACGGCCCGCGATCGGGCCTGTCAGCACGCACCTACTGCGGGGGCCGGGGAGCACCGAAGGTGGGGCCGTGCTCACCCTTCCTGGCGGAAAGGCAGTCCCTGCAGGTCCTGGGGGAAGAGTGTGTGGGAAGGGGAAGGAAAGCTGGTCTAACTGCTTGCTCTTCTACACGTACAGAGATGTCTTCTCTGCTCCTGTGGGCTCGGCCAGCTCAACAGAGCAGGGGCTCAAATGCCAGAGGCTAGAGCGAGCCTGCCAGTCAGGAGGGTGTACTGGGGCCCTTCTTGCAGGACTGCCATAAGGCTGATGCAGCACTCCATAAATTAATTGTATTTAGGAGCAAATGGGCAGAGGAGGCCTGTAATTCAGGGAATAGACAGGGCACTTAGCAACTTCTGCAGTTGTTCCCAGGACTGGTCTGGCTGGGAAGCAGTCTCCTTCACTTGTGCTCTTACTGGCCACTTGGATGCTTAAGGGAAAAATAAAGTTGATGGTAAATTGTTCTCTGAATTCCAGGAATAGTAAGAATGTGGTACCACATAATGCTCTTAGCTTTGTCCAGGCATATGCTGACACGCTCTGCAGTCACTACTCATTTGAGCAGCAAAAGAGGGAGCAACTCTGGCTCCTGGCAGCTTTTTGGTGCAGTACTGAGCTCTGACTGCAAAGGGCAACATGGAGGAGGAGACAGGGAAAGCCAGGGCTGTTTGCAGAAGTGACTGTCTCAATAAATTATTCACAGGGGACATCACACCCTCAGCGCACATCTGTCCTCACTGTGCCAGGTGCATGAGAGTGAGTGTCAAAGTTGCCAGGTTTTGGACATGTGTCGCTCAGCCTGACATGCAGAGTTCCGGAGAGGGAAAGGAGGGCGGGATGTGCTTCCTAGAGAACATCCTGGTGAGACTGATACAGCAACAAGTGGGGTTTGCTTTCTTGAAGAAAGGGGGCTATAAGGCTGTTTATGTGTCCTTCGCAGTGACTGTGCGGCTGAAGAGTCTTATTTCTATTTCTCTGCCCTCTGAGCACCACGCTCATGGGGTAGGAAAGTCCTCTGTGCAAGTCAGGGTGCACCAGTAGAAGCAACAGGTACACAGAGGTGTAAGGGTCAGCTCTCACCAGAGCAGGGAGCCGGCTGTGCAGCCGGGCCCCAGCCAGCCTAGGGGCAAGCTGCAACTTACTGCAGCCCAAAGCCAGCACACCCAAGCCAGCCTGAAGCGAGCCAGCTCGGTGTTGGGTAAGAGCGTGGCCTGGGAGCTTGGTCCCTCCGTCCCTCGGGTGGCCAGCCCAGGCTGTGCTCTCTGCCCTCACAGCCACACTCCTGTCAGTGCCCCCGTGGTCACATGCTGGTCAGTGCCCAAGCTAACTGGCTTAAAGCTGACTTTGGTAAGGGGACAGTTAGATCCTGTTAACGGGATAAATGAGCAACGGTCTGCTCATGCCAGTGGTGTTACCAGAGCAGAGAGTGAGGCCAGCTGTCACCTGAATGAGCCTACGGAAACCATTGGTTTATAATAGCTGAGAGAGGAAGGGACTGGGCAGATGGCCAGAACCCAGGAGTCCTACATCCTGATCCCCCGCTCCATCTATGCTGCCTTCCTAATGCAAAACCTATTCCCATCTCTCTGGTTCAGCCCAGCCCCTGTAGAGCACGCAGCATCATACCTGGTCAAAGGCCTGATCAATCTCCTCCTGGAGTACCTCCAGGAAGTTCTCGTTGAGGTCGATGAGCTCCTGGATGTTGCTGAAGATGCCCAGGAGCTGCTCCTGGCTCAGCAGCCCAGCTGCCTGCATGGGGAGGTAGAACTCCTCTTTGATGATGCGCAGGTCCTCTCCGTAGCTGGCCTCCGTGTTGACAAACTCCAGCACAGACTCCTTGCGCTCCGTCCTGCGCTTGCGGCACTTCTCACAGAGGTCAGCCCGCCTCTGATTGCAGTTCTGCACATCCGTCTCCACCGGCAGGTCCCTTTCTCCGCAGTCGGTGCAGGGACGGTGCGCTTCCCAGGCCTGCAGGGAGCTCAGCGTCTCAGATGCCCTGTTCCTCCACTTTCTGGCTGGCATCTGGCCGATGCCGCTATCTGCCCTCTCCACATCCGCTGACTTGGTGCGGGTGGCCTCACTGGGATCCAGGTCATCCCGGACATCATTCACGCCAACAATCCCGCTGTCCGTGCTCAGGCTGCTGACGTTGCTCCAATGATGTCTGGAGCGCAGAGAGCCACGCGGGGCATGGCGGGTCTCATCAAAGCTGCCACCATGGCCAAGGTTGGCTTTTGCTACCACTGGACCTGAGAACAGACACAAATCATTACAGGCACTGCTGGCACACAGTTCACCCGAGGAGCTTAGGCTGGCACAGCCGTGAGTGGCAGGAACTCTGGAGATGGAGATCTGTTGAAAGCAGAGCTGCTGGCTGACCCTCCTCCTGCTTTGCTGATGGGAAGGTCTCAAAAGTAAATGGCCCCCAGGTGAAACCTGTCCCACTGCTCTGCCCATACCTGTGAACCCATTTGGTCTCTCTCCCCCGCCGCCATCTGCCAGGCAGGGACAGAGACCCAGCAGAGTGACCCCGTTGTCTTGCACAACCGCGTTCAACCCAGAACGCTTCCCTCCCCCAGGTCGTTACACTCCCCATTTCCACCAGTGCAGCAGGGTTCAGCGCCTGGCCCATCAGCCCCCTCTGAGCGCGGGTACCGTAGTCTCGCTCCTGCCGACGCTTCTGTGCGTGCTGCCGCGCCGCAGCTGCAATCTTCAGCTCCAGCTGCTTCCTCTTCACGGAGTCTGTCGGCATAGGGTCACTGAAGTGCGGCCGCAGCCGGCACTCCCGCTGGGCCTTGGCGCCATCCGTGCTCTCGTGGACGATGTCAGAGCTGGATCGGCGGCAGCCGGGACTGGGGGTCTGCAAGAAAAGCAAGTGGGTTGGGAGCAAGGAGGTGGTCAAAGCAGCACCTGGCTTGCAGGCACGGGACTTCAGTTGCTAAAGGAGGGAAAAGGCAACTCGTCAGCAGTGGAACTGCTGCATGATCATTAGGAAATCTGTCCCCTCGGGTCCCTCCGTCTCGGTTAGCCCTAGCAGCAAGGCCCCCTTGCCCTCTGCTGTTGCGTAGCTCTGAGTACACGCTGCGTGGTGGCTGGGTCACGGCTGTCAAATATCCACGAGGAAGGCAACAGCACAGTCCTGGCTAAGGGCCTAAAGGCGGGGCTAAGCCTGTCCTCCAGGACGCGAGCTAGCTTGCCGCTCTTCTGGGAACGTATCCTACACCTTTCCTACGCCAGCCGTGTGACCAAGTGGGGACCCGGAGGCAGCGTGGCTGGTCTCTGGGCAGTCCAGCAACGGGGGGGTCCCGGCGCAGTGAAAGCCGTGAAGGAGTTCCTGCTGCACTCCGCAAGAGATGCAGCGGCAGACAGGCCAGGGCACTAAACCGACTCCTGTCGGCGTTAGAAATGCTTCTAACAGAGTTTAATCGCTCCTGGGAGTTGGTGGGATCTCAGATCCCAGGCTCCGAGTCTGCCCAGCTCTTTCAACAAAGGGAGCCTGTAGGGTTTCTAACAAGACAAAAACTGCTGACCGCGTGCCCGTGAGGAGAGGGGAATTCTTCTCCCTTACATTCCCTGCAGGTGGAGTGTCGCTGGATGTCTCATTGCTTGGCTTGTCTTCCCAGGTCTCTGTTGCCATGGACATGGCTGTGGGCTGCTGGCTGTCCTCCGGAGGTGGGAGATCAGCTTCCCTCAGATGACGCTCTCCCTTGGAGGGGGATTTGGCGGCAGTCTCAGCATTGCAGCTGCAGGGGAAGAAGCAGACCAGTGAACATCACACACAGGCACTTCACCTGCCGTTCCCGGCACGAGACTGAGCAGCAAGCCCAGGTTTGAAGAACCAGCCGCAACTGTTGAGGGAAGCGCGGGCAGGAATCTAGGCTGGTCGGCGTGGATGGCTGTGCCTGTGTTTCAGGGGCTCTAAACACAGCTCAGTTCTAGGACTGCAGACTGGGTAACTGCACTCATGCCAGCGTCAGTCTGGGAAATCAAGTCTCGGGTGTGCACAGGGCATTTTTGTGTCCATAACACAAGAAGTTCTCCCATAGGGACCAGAAAAACCTCTTTCTAAGTAGGCCATATCCATATTTGATGGTATTTAAAAGATATTGTCAACACAGAAACCATATTGCTCATCTGGAAGAAAATTACCTGCTAAAAGCCATAATACTTTGAAGAGATTAGAAGATTAAAGGAGCTTTCCTTCTGTTTTTCATCTCATATGATCCCAAGCCTGCTGAAACCACTGGAAAGACTCCCCCTGCTTTCAGTGAACTCAGGATCAGGTCTTTTGGTGCACTTAAGAGCCCCCAAAAGATTGGCAGACCCTGTTCTCACATGGCTATTCTGAGATGCTCTTACTCACGGCTGCCTGGTGCTAACAAGAGCCTGGCCTGGCTGATACAGACGGCCTGTTCCAACCCCACATTCCCCTCTCTGTGCACAACATCACCTCTCCAGACAGACACTGTCTGGTGCAAAACCACTGACCTGACAGAGTGGTTGACAGGCTGTAGTTTGTGATGCTTCTTGTGATACATTTTGTTGAACGGACTCTCTAAGACACCTAATTTCGATGCATAATGAAGCCTGCTTGGAAGAATATTAATATTTTTACTTTGAGTTTACTTAATTTTTATGGGCTTGGATTCCTTCAAATAGAAAGGTTGTGAGGATTGGACATGGATGCTTGTACATACAGGAAGCCAGTGTCTGGAACATATTTCAGGTTATCCATGTATTTTATGCCTAACAAAAGTCTCCTCTGACAGAAATCTGCTTCTTCTTAAAGGCTTCACTTACGAACTTAGGCTGGTAGGTCACAGAGCTAATGTGCAGTTCCAACACTGTCTGCTGCACGCAAACACATCAGACAGATGGGCATTTTCCTTACAATGAATGACAGTTCACTCCAATAACAAACCATCAGCCAATACCAAAATCGCTGAAGAGGAAACAAATCCCAGAACACAAACTGACTCTGTTGTCAGGCCAGAAAAGTTGGTTTGCAACTTTCCAGCTGATGCTTTTTCATCTTCCTCCATTTACGCTTCCAAGTACCAGGGGATTTACCAGCTTACGGAGTTTAGCCGCAGCTGCGCAGCAACGGCACGGTGCTAACGGCAGGCTCCTGGCCTGTACGTTTGGCTGTGCTAACTCCCTGCCAGGCGGATTTGGAAGCGTCACTTCACCCCTCCAGGCCTGTACAAAGGAGGTACCAACATCAGTGCTGTCACGGAGCAGTCTGTAGCACGGGCTGTGTCAGCCCCCTTCCAGGGCTGCAGGGCGAGCAGCACAGGCACACAGTGAGGCCGTGTCCCACGGTGGTACCGCCACCGGCTTGAGAGGTTCCCGTCTCCTTCCTCCCTCCCATTCCCAGCCACGTTTGGGGCACCACTCCCTTAGCCTTGTGTAACTGGCTCTGTGGCCATGACCTAAAATCAGCCTTGAAATGGTCTGAGTTTAAAGAAAAGTATTCTCAGCCAGATAATTTCACGGATGTTTCATTGAGTTGGGTGAAGTGTGAACAGCTCAGCTGGGCAAACCTGTGGGGGTGAAGGCCGAGATTAAGGGGCAAGAAAGTTCTTAAAGAGAATCTGCTACTGCCAGAAACACACCATTTCCAAAAGCTACTCCTGCCCAAAAAGCTTCTGGTGGAAACATGCAGAAAGAAGGGAACATGCTGAGGCACAGAGAGGCAACGGAATGTGTCCAAGGTCAGCAGCAGAGCTCACAACTGGAATATTCCCCTCTTGGCCACACCACCTCCCACCATACAGACCATACTCTCAGAGAGAAGCTGAGCTTTCATTGTCATTTTTACAGTGCTTCAAGGTCATCAACCTAAACATGGAAAGTACTCCAGAATATTACTGTTCCCCTAAGTGGAAAATTCAACCCACCCCATGGCTGGTCAGAGAGAGGTAAGGAAGGCAAGGATGCAGAGCCCACACTCTGTGAAAGGAGGTTTCTTCATCCCTGGCTTGACTGCACTACTTGTAGTTGTGACTAGACCCCTCCTGCACGATGTCCTGGCCGTGCTGAGCGGGGTGAGCGCTGCCCAAGAGAGCCGCCGCTCTGTGCCGCACCACCAGTGCGATCAGAGGCAGGTAGACAGGACAAGGGGGATACAAGCAGTTTTGTAGAACCCAAACTTAGGGCTGCTCCTTGAACCTTTGCCCGTGGCTTAGCCAAGAAAAAGGGATATCGCCCCTTCCTCCAGTCCACTGCCCCTGGCAGGGGTCTGGGCTGCCAACAGGTCTATGCCCATGCCTGCTCAAGCAGTCCCCTCTGCTCTCATGCGGAGCTGCAGAAGGGGGGACTCCAGCATGTTTCCTTCTGTGGGATCTGACCACTTACTGGGATCAGAGTTTTCTGCCTGGGGTTAGTGCCAGTTTTCCCTGTTCTCTCCAAGACAAACGATGCACTTGGGTCAGAACAGGGAGGACAGGTTCTTTCTGAATGTCCTTTTAAACCTCTGGGCCACCATTCCTGAATTTCATGGCAGCAGAGGCACTGGGTATGTGGTGTACAACTGGAAATGCACCCACTTCCCTTTGCAGTGTGTATGGGATTCTTCACGGTTGTTCTCATTGTCCAGGCCAGCAGTTCTCAGCACTTTCCACGTTCCTGACTCTTTCTGACTAATGGAAACATTAGTCTGCTCCTCCCCTGCTGGCACCTGCCTTCCACACTTGGAGTCCTCTGCTACGGGAAGCTGTTACTGTACCTACCACCCCGGTGTCATCCTAAATACGCCCCATCACTCGTTTCAGGAAGCTCTCTTCCTTAGGGATGTCACAGACATTAGTCACAGCCTTGGTCATTTCACAGACAGGAACCACAGGTGCCTGCACGTCCTTATCCTGAACAATTTGCTGCTTAAACAAGTTCCAAAAATAGACTCTCTATTGAAAGGCTACAGGATTTCCACCTAGATCTCACACCCTGTCCTCACCAGGACTACAACCAAACTCACAGGTATCCAGTGACCCATGAGGGAGCTAAAGCTGCCACATTATGAACCTGAAAATCAAATCTTCACTGATGAATTATTAAGCCACTTGAATGAATCTTAAGTAATTAACTGTGAATTACTAGGGCGGCAATTAACTTACCAGACAAAACTGCTTTGTACAACTGTAGCACTTGCACAGAAACACTAGAAAGAGATGACAATTTCAGCTATCTTATTGTGTGATGCTCCATCACAACATCTCTATCCAAGGCTTGCTGAGTTCAGTATCTATGGAAATGGAACCACATTCCCAGCTTTCAGCTCATTTCACTTGAGACTTAGAAAAAATGTCTGGATGTCAGCGATCATAATTGAGGAACCAAAACATCCAAACAAAAAGTCTCCCACCTCTGCAGTGAGAATCAGCTGGAGTTATAAATGAATATTCAGGCACTTTACAGTCTTGGGTGAAAAGGACGGACAATTGAGAAATTTCCAGATAAAGGAAACTGGAGTTTCCCACTAACCACTTTGGCATTGCCAACAGATTTGTCTTCCTCCTCCTATCCTGAGGAAATGACAGCCTTTACCATTAATTGTTATTACAAGGCCAGGGTGTGTCCTTCACATGAAACAGCCTCTCTAACACTGGAACCGCTGTCATTCTCATTTTTAGATCAATTACCACCATTAATAGAATCACCTCATAGATGTTAACAAATCCAACTAGGGAGACTGAACACTCACAGAAACAAAAAGCACTGCGGATGTTAAAAGCACAGAAACCACACTGAAACCATAAAGGCCCTGGGCAGAAAGCGTTCGGAGGCTGGGAGAGTCGGAGGAAGAAAGACCATGTGCACTGCCCGGTTCCTGTATACTTTGCTATGCACGCACCTCCGGCTCCAGATACCAGTCAAACCTCTGCTCTGCTCAGGGACAGCTCTTCTTGTGCTCCTACTCACGGCTTGTGCCATTCTTTGCATTTCATTTCACTTCACATCAACACTAAAAATAGCCTACTCAGCGAAAATGGCTGCATACCACGACTTTCTCATCTGTTCCTTCACTGGGTTTTCATACTCAAGAACAAAAGCACGAAGACTGGGCTGGCCAGCTGAAGGAAGCATTTACAGCTCTGACACCACCTACTTCCCTTTGGATTATAAACCTGCAGAAGTATTTCTGCTTGTCACGCCAGCTCTGTCTGCATGGGGAGTTCCAACTGCACAGAAGTTCTTTCCGCCTCTCATTCCTGTGCAGGAGTCACTAGCTCCTCCTCTAAAACCTGAGTCCAGTCTCAGAGCTCCAGCACTCCAGAAACACCAAGCCAGTGGAGAGGGCTGATGCCCTGGCATTTCACACATCGCACCTAGGGACATCAGAAGCAGCCAGGAATGGAATCAAATGTACTTCTTGCCAGAGGTAGACCTGAAAGCCAAGCACATCGAACAAATGCACTCCACTCCAATGCTTACTCTTCCTTTTCCATCATCCTTATCTAGTGATAAGACAGTGATAGCTGTGCCAAATTCCTAGCTTCCAGAGCTTTCATGGACCACCTGTTTGCATAGAAATGTACCCTCATTCTTTGGCACGAGGGAGGTAGCAGGACTGCAGTGTCTAAAGCCAGGATAGAGAGAGCAGTCCTTGGGAACATCTTACCCAGAGAAGGGGAAAACCCTGGTTGGAGAAGAGGGAGCAAGGCTTCAGGCAAGTATTTTCTGTCACTGCTTATGCCTTCTGAGTTGGCAGGACAACGTTGGCAAGTACTTCCACTCGCTGCCTGTGCTGGTCTCCAGAGGGTGGTTAAAGACTCTCACAGCCATTTTGCTCTCATTTGTTG